CAGGAGTTTGAACGCATCATCGACCAGTACGGCTGCGAGGCTCTGTCCAGGCTGATGCCCAAAGTGGTGCGGGTCCTGGAGATCCTGGAGGTGATGGTGAGCCGCAGCAGCATCAGCCCGGACACCGAGGAGCTGCGGCTGGAGCTGGACCGGCTGCCCCTGGAGCGGATGGACCGGCTGGAGAAGGACAAGAAGCACCGGCAGGTCTCTGACAACCGGCTGTCCGTGTTAGGGCTGCACACTAAAGCATGCTGAGAAGGTTTTCAGGCAGAAAGAACACGGAAAAAAAACTAAACATGACTAAAACAATCTCTGAAAATGTAATAGAAGTAATCCCACTTGCAACAGTCATTAAAAAAGGCATTTTAATGAGGAAAAGCTTAGATATATCATTAAAAGCTAAGTTGCATTGTTTTTTATTCATTCAAGTGAGGACACCAACACAATATATAAAATGATAATAAGCACAAATTGAAAGTATTCACAGCCGTGAGTGGAGTAAAACGTGCACTTTTGATCGGAAGATGCTCCGACGGGGCTCTGAAGGCCCCCTGACCTCTGCCTTGCAGGTATCCCAGCAGATGTTCTTCTCGGCCATCGGGAGCGATTTCGGGACCTCTTCGTGAGGTAGGTGGCCTCAAAACGCAAAATGGAGTACAAATGTTGTACCGAACGTCTTTAATTTGCCGTTGTGTTGTCTTTTGCAGCCTCAGGCAGTTCTTCGACAGAGCCAGAGAGATGGAGTTCTTTAAAAGCTTCATCCAGATCCCAGACCTCCCAGATGTAAATGACTCCGCCGGGGTTTCTGTAGACTTAGACTTAGACTTAGAATTTCTTTATTGTCATTGTACAAAAAACACAAGGTGAATCTTGACAACGAAATGTCGATTACTTGGCTACTAGTGTGACAGAGCTGAGACCTTATTCCTACTTAATAAATATGTTTTCTATAACTTAGAGCTGGATATATACAGGGTAAGAGCATACAGTGGGGGAAATAAGTATTTGACCCCTTGCTGATTTTGCAGGTTTGCCCACTTACAAAGAATGCAACGATCTATACCTTTAATCATATG